ACTTACATGGGTGTCCTGCGTTCAGCTTTGCACTTGAAAGCATTCCCAATAATTATGTGCAAGTAATATACATATGGATATACCATGATGCAATCTAATACTCAACCATGTCGTAGCATTTTCAATTATATACAATACGGTGTGAAATGTACAACCAATAACGCCCTACTCCCGAACTACTAATTATCCATGACAACCCAATTAACACTAATTTAACTAACTAATTCACAAAACTGAAACTTACCTTTACCAATTTCCTTCGCATTACTCAATTTCTCAAATAAGGCTTTTGTCTCAGATATATTATGGCTGCATCTAATGTCTCGTTAAACTGCCTACGTACCCTAAAAAGGGATCAAGCCACTCGTAGTTCATATTAGTACTTCAAGCATTCATAATAATTATATGAAGGTAATATACCTAATCAATTTAAAAGTGTCGATGGAAGTATCAATAATATGTACGATAAAAGGAAAAGGTCCACTCATCTGGAGTCCACGTTATGATTCTCTAGCGCACGCATCGAGGCGTCTTAAATGATTGGTGCTTGTGACCAATTATCGAATCACATCTTAGAACTTTTATCAGTAGAATACGTAATTCACATAAAAACACAACCTCAAGGGCATTCTAAAATAGTTTGAGACCCATTGACCACAAGTCAACAGTCGATCAAAGATCGACGGTAGGGTCTACAAGCCTGTATAACTCGACCCTAAAGATCCGCATATCAAATTTCCAATCCGCGACTTGCAACGATCCACAATATGTTTCTAGAATAACATATTAAAATTTCATTACCATCCAACGGTTGGATCTCCACCAATTGCCCAAAACCAAGTGGCAGTTAACATTTATTTTACTAACTTACAAATCCAATTTGGGAAGATCCGTACATTGGATTCCTGATCCATAAATTCCTATGATCTTTAAATATTACGTATTATAATTTATCCAAGTTTGATGACGATCCCACGGTTGGATCGTCGATTCACATTTTTATAAAGTAACGTATCATAACAAATTTAGGTTCCAACGATTAACCTACATCATTCAAATAACAAAACTGAATTCAAGACATTCGACATAGCCTAAAAATAGCATTGGCGGCCCACTGGCCATGCGCCGTTGCAGGAGGCGGTCGGCTGCCCGACTCGTCGGAAAATCCAACTATTTCCAAAAAATCTCAAACTTCACAGAAATGAAGATCTCAGTGAGTGGAGCAACTTTCATACCTGCCATGAAGTCCAAAAGTAGACGGCATATGGTCAATTCTGCCCACAAAGCTGGCGGGTGCCTAAAACTTCTCGATGTCGATTGGTTGTCTACGGTGGTCCAACGGGGTCAAGGTTGGTTGGGTTTTGCTCCTGGGATGATGGGCTACAAAGCCCAAGTGGTGGCATCAGCCATCACTTTGGTGATTTTCCGGAAAATAAAAAAGGGTGCCCGGAGCACCGTAAGAACCGCCAACTTTCGTTGCCTCAAACTGCCACATACCTTGGTTAATCAAGGTGGTTCTTAGGTGGGTTTGGTAGAGGGGAATGAGAGCTTCAAGATGGTGGTGGTGGCATCAAAAAAATTCATCCGAGTTGGCCGGAATAGGCCTTGGAAAATGGGTGGTTGCTGATGCGAGTTTTATACGCACACAAATTAAACCCTCTTTTTATCAATTGTAGTAAGTACGTAAGTAGGGATCGTTCTGGACCGGGGATTAGGAGGGCTTGTTAACCACTTGGATTTGACTTCAAAAACGTAAAAACAAGTTTAAAACACTATACTAAACTCGAAGAATGCAAAACTCAAAATAAGATGGATTAAGACTAAAACTTCAACGAAATAGGGGGGAATTGGATTTGGACGAATTTAAACTAAAATAAATACTTGGAAACAAAACAAATTGTGAATATGGATTTGACGGAAATGAATGGATGGGAAGCTAGCTAAGGGGTTCATCTCTATACATGTTATACTTGCATACAAAACGATTTCTAATTGCTTTTCAATAAACCATGAATTCTCAACGCCCCGGGTTAATTAGGTCCGCTTAAATTAACCGTCAAGTTTTTCTTAAGTTAATGAATTGGATGATTGCATACGACAATCCAAAGCATTCCTCACAAGTTCCCTACATGAATTGCATAATAGAGATACAAGCAAGAATCATTAAGCAACATGAAAACTATAAGTGTTGACGAGGCATTCGTTACTATGATTGCATGAAACTTATGCCAAGAATTTGTTTAACGCGATTGTTTATAAGCAACCTCCACTACTTGTGAATATAAGTTCATAACTATTACGTGAAACTCACTTATATTCTAGCGTCATATTCATGCATGAAAATTAAGCGTTCATTCTTAATAAACATACATAAATAGGATATCAATCAAATAGTTAAACAAATTGAATTCACAACTTATGAAACGTAATTAAAAGTAATCAAATCATATTGCAAGCATAAACATATATTTCGAATCACCCCCTAGCTAAGGGGGGTTTAGTTCCTCATACTTACAAAACAAAGAGAATTGAAATTAAACATTGAAATCAAAGAAACGCCTAAACATTCCAACAACTCAATCTTGAATTGTATGAACGTTTAGGCCCTCTTATCTTCCTCTTTATTGTAGCATAAGGTTTAGGGATAGTTGGTTGGGGGGATGGAAGTGTTGGGAAATTATGGAAATGGAAGATGGTTTTTGGATTCTAAGGGAGAGAAACTCACGGCTAGGGAAGTGTTTGTGGTGTGTTGTGTTGTGAATGAGATGAGATGATGATCTTTGAATGAATGAATGCAAGGGTATTTATAGGAGGAGTGGAGATGTATATGGCTATTTGTTTAAGGTGTTTGTGGCTGCAATGATGAAGAATTGCATGTGGAAATAAAAGGGAAAATGTGGTGAAATGATGAAGTAGGAAGGTGGAAATGCATGTGAGATGTTGGAAAGGAAATGGGATATGAGTAGGCCATGGCATGGGAGTTGTTTTGTTGGTGTAAATGTGCCATGGTTGCAATGATGAAGAATAAAGGGTGCATGTGGGGGTGGAATTGAATGAATGCAAAGTGAATGAATAATGAAATGAGTTAAAGAGGGAGAATGTGGTGAAATGATGAAGTAGGAAGGTGGAAATGCATGTGACTTGTTTGTGGAATAAAGAATGAATGGTGGAATGATGAAGAGTTGCATAAAGAATGCATGTAGGGTTAGCTAGGTTGGTTTTGTTTGGGTGCATGTGTGTTAATAGTGGTTTTGCATGTGAATTGATGGATTGTTTTTGATGGAATGGATGGTTCTTTGCATGGCTTTTGAAGTGATTGTGGGCTTTGGAATTGGAAGGAAATGCATGGCCTTGGGGTTGGTTTAAGAGAGAATGGGCTAGGCCCTTTGTTTTATGTCCAAAATGAATACAAGGCCTTCAAATTCGTCCAACACTTTGGCTCCAATCATATGCTATCCATTCCAAGCCCAATTTTGCTCCAAAATGCTCCAAAATGCATCTTTTTGCTTCCTTAGCCATATGAACCTAAAAACACACGAAAATGGCTTAAACTACTAAAACAACTATGAATTAACAACATAGATGCACGAAAACAAGCTAAGTAAGTCGCCTAAATATGCTCCTATCAGTTGCGAGGGGAAAAATGCACGGGAAAGCTGGGAGATTTTTTTTTTTTCTTTCATCTTTCTTTCTGATTGGTTGAAGGCTTTCCTCCTCTCCTCTAATTGATTCCTTGTCCTTTTAATTTAATTGGTCCACTATTCCCACAAGGTGGGAATTCAAATAATTTATAACTAAACTTTAAATAACCATTTTCAAACGTCCATAACCATACCGTTATAATCCGCATTTGCAAATGACTTTCGCCTATGCGTTCACACCAACGAGTACTACGAGAATATCTTAAAAGAATAAGTCATACGTCTCTCTAGATGATGGTCAACTTAAGTCAAAATCTTTGCCTCTATAGCATTTTCGTAAATTCACATTTTTAAAATAAAATAAAAACGTAAAATTTGGAACGGTCTGTCACAAATTCTAATGGAAGTGTCCTTATAGTATAGCCCTTGATTTAGGAATTAAATGATTAAAAAATCATTGCTACTTAGGCAACTGTTGGTCTAAACAGCAAAAAACAAAATGAAAAATCAAAAGCTGTCGAGACAATTGATTTCCTTCAATAAACAAAAGAAAAAAAAATCAAGGAGACCGTGCATGCAGTTGGACAACATCAAGGAATTCGCACGTGGGTGGGCAAGTTTTTCACCCAAAATGCCCCATAGGACTCCACCATTTTGGTTCCTATACTGTCCCCATATGTGACCATTTGCCTTATGTATCCGGTTAGTCCTTATACCTTAGAACTCAATTTCTGGTGTCTATACAGTGGTGAGAACAACATTAAGGACTAGCATTGGAGATGCCCTTGTATATGGTGCATGGGTATTTCACATGAAGTAATGCTTTTCACACACCATTTCTCACCTCATATACACTCCTTTAGTTTTCTAGCTGTTAAATTGAACAATTAAAGTAAAGTGACAGTCTAAATTACCAGGAGGTGAAAAATACTATGCTGAAATCACAACCCATTTGACATTTGGTCACTCAATCAAATTCTTTAGAGAGTTTTAATGAAACAATTCCGATACTGTTCACTTTTAACGAAAAACCACATTTTTATCTTTTCTTGGTACTATTCACTACACATTTATTTGTCATTTTTAATTAAAACTAAATTTTTTTTTTTTTGAACTTTTCATTAATTTTCATAACTTTTTATTGGGCGTGGATTTGTATCTGAACCAAATTTCAAATTATCAAAAAGAGTTTGAGGCTTGAACTTAGCCCATTAGGCCTATTAAGCCCGAAACAGCAGCCCGCTTGTAATTGGGTCCACACAGAAAACCCCTAAGAACATCATATAAATACCCTCACTTATCAGCACACGCCACTTCCTCTAGGTTTAGGGTTTTTCATTCGCCAATTCAGAGAGCATAATCCAAACCCTAGCAATGGCGACTCCCGCAATTGAGTCAGTGCAGTGCTTCGGTCGTAAGAAGACCGCTGTCGCCGTCACCTACTGCAAGCGCGGCCGCGGCCTCATCAAGATCAATGGCTGCCCAATCGAGCTCGTCGAGCCCGAGATCCTCCGCTTCAAGGCCTACGAGCCCATTCTCCTCCTCGGCCGACAGCGCTTCGCCGGAGTCGACATGCGCATCCGCGTCAAGGGCGGCGGTCACACCTCACAGATCTACGCCATCCGCCAGAGCATCGCCAAGGCTCTTGTGGCTTTTTACCAGAAGTATGTCGATGAGCAGAGCAAGAAGGAGATTAAGGACATTCTTGTCCGGTATGACAGAACCCTCCTTGTTGCCGACCCGAGGCGCTGCGAGCCTAAGAAGTTCGGTGGTCGCGGTGCTCGTGCTAGGTTCCAGAAGTCTTACCGTTGATTTGGGCCAAATGGAGGGCGAAAGTTGGACAGATTTAGCTCCTTCGTTTCAGTTTCTGGTTTCAAGTTCATGGATTTTGTTTCAAGGAGTCGGAAGTTGATGGGTATTTTATATTTTATCAGAATTTTGATCATGAAGACTTTATTGTTTTTTTAAGTATTTTGGATGTTGAATCGTTACGATATTAAATATGACATGCTTCAATTAATTGCTGTGTTTCGGTTGATCCAGAAATTAGATATCAAGGCATTATTTATTACCGTTAAGTTTTATGATTGCCGTTGTCTGGTTCTTGGGTTGCTTAAAAGGCTAAATCTTTTGGATTTGTATTTGTGTGGCTTAGTATGCTTTAGCATTTGTATAATCTTTTCGTTTGAGGCAGTGCCGTCCCCTGGTTTTCTATGCTTCAGCATTTGTATAATGTTTTTGTTCTAGGAAAATGTCGTCCCGGTTTTATATGCTTTACCAATTATACAATGTTTAGGGTTTAGGGTTAGTATGCTTTAGCGTTTGTATAATGTTTTCGTTCCATGGAATGCCGTCCCCTGGTTTTCTATGCTTTAGCATTTGTTTAATGTTATTGTTCAAGGAAAATGTCTTCCCCGGTTTCCTATGCTTTACCAATTATACAATGTTTTGATTCTTGGCAATGCAGTCCCTCGGTTTTCTGTGATTGATTAGACTCACCATAAGTTGTGTTGTGTATAAACTGTCTAAGCTCATTGCTAGGCGGAGCAGTTTGTTTCGATGGATGTTGATAGGATTTTGCATTGCCATTGAATGATTTGCTTGGATCCCTGCAATGCACGGTTTACTTAGGTTTGCCTATGTTGGGTACAAAATGTTTTTAGTTTGATGATCTAGGTCTCGTTGATCAGCCTTTTTCCATGCGCACTTCTGATATTATGAATTGATTTTGGTTCACTTTTTCACCATGTATATGGTAATATGTCTATGTTGTTATAAATGCTCAGAAGCCGTGTTTCTTCTATTCTAATCTAGAGCTTCACGCTTGTAGGATGAGTCATTAGTTTGTATAATCAAGTCATTGATCTGTCCTGTAATTGTGCATTGTTCGTGAGGTTCTTGCCGATTGGAGTTTAACATGTGTTTTTAAATTTTGCTTTTTGTGTTATTTCTGTGTGTGTGCCAAACTTCGATTTTTGAAAGAAAGGAAATCAATGCTGAAAGTGGAAACATTCAGCCCTATTGGATGGAAAGCATAGCTGTGCAGTATGGTCATTGTGTGTGCCGCCTCATGTACTTTGACGCTGTACATGCATCTTGTGATTTGGCCCTTGTGGTGGAATGCGTTGCTTTTGCAGTTATGTGTTACACAGGCGTGTGCAATGTAGAAACATGAACCTATCTTCGTAGTTCCGAAGACAGGAATTGGGTAGTAGGGGGCGGCACCCTTGGACTCCCAAAAAAGGCTTTTGCCCTACTGGCTATTGGAAAGTCTTTGTTGAAACTGTTTACTTAAATGTTCTGGAATCGGAGTAAAAATAAAACGAAATTCATATAAGTTATTTACCAGTTCATTTGAATCGGAATGAAAATTATTATGATTACTAAAGTACCTTTAATCTAAATAATAGAAAATTTCCACTTTTTAATACAATTTCACACATACATACACACACACAAACATGTATACAAACATATATACATACGCACACCCAAAACATATATGTATATATATATATATATGTATGTATGTATGTATAGTTTTATTAAAATATATACAATTCGTGTTGGAAAATATTGGCTGGCTGGCACCATTGGAAAATATTGGTGCCTATTTAACACTGAAATAAGTCTCCCAACCGCTTTCTAGAACCCACGGGTTCTCTACATCATTGTTGTTCCATATTCTGCTCTGCACACACAGAAGAGAGAGAAAGAGAGAGAGGAGAGAGAACACGAAGGCTTTGCATTTTCCCGCTCACCGTAGCTACGTGGGCTTTCTTCCCCTTCTGGTAAGTTGCTTCAGGTTCATTGCTTTCTCTTCTTCTTCATCGTCTTCTTCTTCTTCTTGTTGGGTGCTGTGAACGCAGAGGGGCTTGGTTTTCTGGAAACAGCACGAAACTTTGATCGTTTGGCTATTTGGGGAAGATAGAAATATGGTGTTTTGGTTTGAATGAAGGTAGAGGTGTTTAGGAGTATACATGGGTATTTTGGGTACAAAATTTTGATTCCTGCTGGAGTGTTCTACCCGGAACTCAAATACTACCCCTATAGAGTGATCCAATTCCGGGCAATTCTGGAATTGAATTCATGATATTGGGTGGTCCCCACAGAAGTTCTGCTTCCCTAATTGCTTGTAAACGTCGAAATGGATTGGGAAACGTACAATTCCGTTTCTCTCGATTCCAATCCCGATTAGTAAACACGCCCATTGTGTAGGTATTTCTACTTCCAAGGAAATGACCGCAAGTATCTCTCTTTAAAATCTTCTGTTCAATGAACTAAAATCTAGCACTGTTGTCACTTAGTATTACAGTATAATAGTAATTCTCTTCACTTGAAAAAGAGGTCTTAAGTTTAATTCTCACTTAGAAGAGAGGTTTTAAGTTCGATTCTTGCTTGTCTTCATAAACATTTTAGGGATTTTTTACTTCACAACTCAGCTTTCTGTAGAGCTTGAATTTTTTAAGCTCGCTCAAACTCGCTTTGTACAAGAAGCAAGCTTAGCCTAGCTTGCCTTGAAAAAAAAATGAAATAAACCGAACTTGAGCGTAGCGATCTTCGATTTGGCCCGCCCGTATCAAGTACTATATTTTTACTTTTGTCGGCTGAACCGAAATTCACTATTGACAATTTAGGTTGGTCGGGTGTGAAAATATAAGAGAATGTGTGACTATATTTCAGACATAATGTTGGGTGTAGATTCTGGATATTAATCTCATAGAAAGATTAAGAATTAAAGACAATGATGGATTGGATGTAAAAATACAATCCTGAATTCGAATAAAATTTCTCAAAGCTCAACTCAACCCGAAAAAGCACGTTATTTTTTTTTTTAACCTTTGTCAGTTAAGTGTATTTCCGCCATTTGAGATCATGTGTTTGACTTTGATGTACAGTCATATCCACTTGGACGACTTAATTTTCTTGGGATTAACCATTCGAGGTCATGTGTTTGACTTTGAAGTACCTTCATATCCACTTGGACCACTTCTTAATTTTCTTGCGTTTAATCCCAGCTGAGATGTGTTTGATGTTTTTTATTTTACTTCATATCATCTGCAGCGTCAGCTTGTAGGTTTACTTTGCACAATTAAATTCCGGTAATGGAGGAAGCTTGTGGATCTTATTTGACCTTTTATATTAAGGGAAATCCTGGAGAGACTACATGTAGTTTGACAATATTACCCCACCTTTCTACAATAATTTGACAGTATGATTTAGTCATATATATCAAATAAATAAACAGTTCATCTTTAATGTTTTACTTGGTATTTACACCGCTGTTTATTTATTACATTTGAATTACTAAACGGTTTTTAATTCGAATGATATTTTTTACATCTTCAAATGAAAAGTACGAAATTAAACAATTCTAATTATGAAATTACAATGGTAAAAATACGTTATTTGCAAGTTGAGAAATGAGCTCATCCCCAAGAGGAGAATGCAAGTACTGTTCCCAACATCATCCAAACTCAAATCATAACATGAAATATAAGCAAATGATGAAACATTCTCTTTTCTTTTCACTATCCACTGTCTATTCCTTTGAACTTGAACTTGCACCCGGTTAAGATTTTCGGCAACAACAGGCTAACGTCGGCGGGTTCAGATCATTATACATACATACAACTTGAGTACATTTGCTGCCCTTACAGCGACCATCACAGCGATCGTCAGCTGAGCATGGACCATCCCAGTCACAATCAGGATACTTCCCATCGATTCGTACATCCAAGTCTATAAATAAAGAAAAAAAAAATGGTCAATTTGTCATGTTAAAGACATTTTATAATGTATGATTTGGCTACGATGCTTATAAATCTAACAATCAAATATTGTAAGGACACACTCAAGGAGCATATATTTGACCGTCAAATGATGGTTCATGCTAAATATTTGTAAATCCATGTAAGTACTTAGTACAATAATATAGGGCTTAAAGACATTTGGAAACCCTAAAAAAACAAAGAACTTGATTCCTCATTGAGAAGGAGCAAATTCTTTCTCATCTACAAATCACAATTTGACTAACATACAGATAAAAATTATGAGTTTTTACTGAGTTATTTATGCGCATATGTGATTTGTAGGTAGAGAGACATGTATCTTTGAACGTAAACAATATAAAAAAAGAAAAAGAAGTTAGAGAAAGAGGTGGAGAATTTTACCAGCACACGGGAAATCATGAGGAAAATGACAACAAATTGAAACTGGGGTGATGCCATGGTCTTGTGAAAGATAAAATGTAAAATGTACAGAGAGGTCTGTGCTTATATAGTGTGATCGATTGATAGATGATATTATAGCACAATATTTTCTTTAATGCAGTTGCCAAAACTATATCGAATAAATATTAATTTTGGTTTGATTCTTTCTTTGGTTAGCATTTTGTAATCTGATTCGAATTATCCTGCAGCAAACGTACGTAATTTGATTTATTTTTGTTGGTGTGAGTTGATAGACTCCGAGGATTTGTTGCCTTTTTATGCGTGTATATTGCCTCTTAAGAAATACACGAAGCATTCCAGAACACTAGATTAGCACATAAAAACCAATCCAAAGGTAGCATGGTATTAGAGTAGACTATTCTCTCTACACGTCCTGGCCCGAGTTACTAGTTCCAACTTAAGGTAGCTGAATGACTAGAGCTTAAAAAATATTAGTGTTGACTCCATATGCTACATACCGACTGACCGAGTTCTTGAAAAGATTGGTGTTAGTTCCAATATAAGGACTTGGCTAGTTCTCCATGTGAGAATTGGTTTCCCTTGTGGCCCTATGTGGGGTCACTCGTGAGGGGAAGTGTTGAAGAATAAGATCTCACATTAGTCATATGTGTATATATATTTGCTAAGGCCAATTTGTTTTAGACTATATATTTGTTAAGATTTTGGAGTTGGGCCAATGGTCCGCTACTAATCAGACTGATATTTTTATAATTTAATCAAATGCACAAACTGTGAAGTTTTGAGTTTCATCACAAAAAAAACCTCGATATTTTGGAGTTCAGCTATC